GCCTTGAACTCACAGAGATCTGCCTGCCTCTGCCTCCCAAGTGTTATTTTTATTTTATATGTATGAGTGTTTTGCCTGCATTTTTGTGTGTGCAATGCACATGGAGGCCAGAAGAAGGCATTAGATCTCCTGGAACTAGAGTAACAGATGGTTGTTAACCTCCATTGTGGGTGCGGGGAACTGAACCCGGGTCCTCTGCGAGAGCAGCCAGTGCTCTTCACTGCTGAGCCATCTCTCCAGTCCCCGATTTCTTTTTCCCAGAGCCTTCTGTGTCTAGGACAAAGCTGGGGTTTCTGTTTCTGACTTTTGCTTCTCTTCCTCCCCTATTTAAGTTTCACACAATCACCCAACAGGTTTTCTAGCCTTTCTGTTCTAACCCTCAGTGTCTGCTGCCTGCTGCCTGCTGCCTGCGAGAGCTTCACCTTTCTGTAACTTTTTTTTTTCTGAGCTGGATTTCACTCTGGGAGTTGAAGTCCCAGGCCCACATGTCCCACTTCAGCATCCGGGTGGTGGGACTAACTGCTGCTTCTCTTTGTGTGCTCATTTGCTTTCTTCTTTCCTCCCCCCCTCCCCCGTGCTCAGAGAAATCAATAACAATGATCGTATTGTTCAACATCTGTCAGACCATCAGCTATCCCTTTGAACACAGCATCACCCTTAGGGTTTGGGCTTAGTTATAGTACATACACGCCATTCTGAAAATAAGATGATGATGACTTTAGGATATGAATTTCAGGTGACATTTGTCTGAAACACCAGCATGTCCATTTCCCTTGCACTTTCATGGAGTGTTAAATCTCATGACTCTCATGACATCAGTCTTGTGGATTTTTTTTTTTTTTTTTTTTTTTTTTGTCTTTTTGAGACAGGGTCTCCCTGAAGCCCCAGCAACTCACTATGTAGACCACGTTGACCTGGAACTCACAGAGATCTGCTTGCCTCTACCTCCCAAGTGCTGGGACTAAAGGCTTGTGCCACAATGCCCAGCTGTGTTTCTGGTTTTATTTAAGCAACGTAATTACTTTAGATAGAAAAGCATTAGTTAAAAGAGTAGTATTAGGGCTGGAGAGATGAGTCAACGATTAAGAGCACTGGTTCCCAGAACCCACATGACATTTAATAACGCTCCTTAATTCCAGTTTCAGAGTATCTGATGCCCTTTTCTGGCCTCCTTGGACACAACACAGGTTCATTTGCATACATTCAGGCAAAATACTCATACACATAAAATAAAAAATAAAAAACAAAATAAAAAAAAGAGAATAGTATTAATCTTTGTCTTTACAAAGTAGGGCAGATCCCAACACACTTTTGTATGCTGCACATAGGACTGTATTTCAGGACTGTCCTTTAGGAGAATTCCTTAGATGAACCATGGTTTCAGGGTGATGCAGTTCTGACATTTGAGTTATACAGTGTAACTGATGTTTCTCCCACACCCAGTCTCTGTCACTCACCATTTTCCTTTTCAAAAGTTCTTCCTGACATCTTTGTAAAAATATTTTAAGAGGGAGCCAGGCATGGTGGTGCACGCCTTTAATTCCAGCACTTGGGAGGCAGAGGCAGGAGATCTCTGAGAGTTCAAGGCCAGTGTGCTGTACATAGCGAGTTCCAGGTCAGCTTGGGTTACAGGGAGACCCTGTCTCAAAAAGATAAAAATTTTTTTTTTTTAAAGAGGGCCAGGTATGGTGGCGCATGCCTTTCATCTCGGCACTTGGGAGGCAGAGGCAGGTGGAGCTCTGTGAGTTCGAGGCCAGTCTGGTCTATATTTTCAGGCCAGCTGGGGCTTCAGGGAGACCCTGTCTCAAAAAAAAAAATTCACCCAGATTAATGAATATATTGGAAATCTAGATTTAAACGTGGTGTTGGCTTAAAAAAAAGGTATGTTTTTGGCTAAATGGGTCAGCGGGTAAAGGTGCTTGCCACCAAGTCTGATGATCTGAGTTTGATTCCTGGGACACACATGACTGACTCCCATAAGTTGTCCTCTGACCTCCACATGTCCCCTGCAGTACAAACATGCCCACATATACATATACACAAAATATATGTAATAAATAAATGGAAAAAATAGATTTGTGCATGGACTTCTGTGATCCAAGCCTTTGAGATCATGTGATAATTTGAAAACAGAACGTTTTTTTCTTTCTTTTGAGATGGAGTTTCATGTATTCCATTCTGGCCTTGGACTTATTGAGTAGCTAAGGATGGCCTTGAACTCTTGGTTCTCCTGTCTCTACCTCCCAAGTGGTGGGATTGCAAGCATGCCCTGTCACACCCACCAGAGACCTCTGAAGTGCAGAGAATTCAGGGTATGAACGACTCTCCTTCTAGCCCCCAAATGTATGTCAGGCTGGCTTTAGGTGAACAGTTGGAAATGGTTGCTTTGAAGTCACAGGCAAAGCTCCAAGAAAAAGTCTAAAAAAAAATTGTTAAAAATTGTCCCATGTCATATCCATTGCTATAAGTTTTAAAAAAATTATATGTATTCCCATTGAATTGGCTGTTTGATAAATTGACTCCTTCTGGGAGGGCTTTTAAGGTAACGTCCTGTTACCCTACATAGACGTGTTTGCTGATTGATAGTTTCTCAATCTTGGCTGGGTGAAGTATCTTTGGGTCCAGTTGGTCACAGGCTACTAAGGGCTGCTTCCTACTGTGCCCAGATGGTCACTGTTTCTCCAGTCAGATGGGAAACAGTGTGAAAGTTGACATCTTCTGTTCTAAAGACAATCTGTCCTTACTGGATATTATCCAAAAGCGGGTCAGAAATCAGTTACTCAGGCAAGTAAAAAAAAATCCACTCATGGTGCTCCAGGATAAAAACAGTCCATCTTGCATAGTTATTCAGCTGAGTTCCTGCTCATGTGAGCCAATTCTTTCTTCTCTTTCCTTGTTCTAATGTTTAATGGCATGTAGATAAAATTTTTTTTTTTGGTCTTTTTGAGACAGGGTCTCCCTGTAGCTCCAGCTATCCTGGAACTCACTATGTAGACCAGGCTGGCCTTGAACTCACAGAGATTGCCTGCCTCTGTCTCCCTAGTGCTGGGATTAAAGGTGTGTGCCACCATGCCCGTCCATTTTTATTTGCCAGTGTTGATCAAAGTCCAGGATGTAAGAGAAGTATTTCTTAGAAAAAAAAAAAGAGGAAAGGCCTATTAGGGCAAGCTGGTAAATAAACTATGTGAAGCAGGAATACCAGCAGCCCAGCTCCACAGACACAGTAGACTAGTTTGCTCAAAGGATTAGTGGCCTTTGCACCTGGGTTTGCTCTGTGGCCTTTCCTGACTTTCTGCCTTGTGCTCGGCAGTGTCTCCCTTTCTGCTCTTAGTCTCTGTCAGCAGCCTACCATTCAACATTTCTTTATTTCATTTTATGTGTGTGAATGTTTTGCATGTATTAAGTGCATTATATGCATGCCTGGTGCCCATGGAGGCCAGAAGAGGGCATGGGATTCCCTGGAACTTGAGTTAAGGATGGGTGTTAGCTGTCATATCTCTAGCCCCCTCATTGAACATTTCTATTAATGCTTTTTGTTTCCTTTTTTAAAGAAGTAGGAGCCCTTGCATACCAGGCTGGCCTTGAGCTCTCTAAGTAGCTGAGGATGGATGACCTTGAACTCCTGTTGCCCCTGCTTCCCATTCCTGAGCTCTGGGATTCTTGGCATGCTCCATCACTCCCAGTTTCTGTGGAGTGAAGCTCTAACCCCACGCTTCATGCATGCCAGGCAAGCACCACACTGACTGGGCTACTCCCCCCACCCCCGTTTTTAGTGCTGGGGATTGATCCCAGGGCCTCATGTATGCTAAGCAAACACCTAACTGAATTTCTTCCTCAGCCCTATTGACCTGTTGATGCTTATTCTATTGAAGTGAATCATTCCACAGTAGACTAGTTTGCTCAATGTTAAATGATGTTTTGTGCCACAAATGCCCTGGTAGAGCTGAGCAATAAGCTCTGTGAACACAAAATTTGGTGACTTGCAGGCTGTATCCCAAAACATCACTCTTTAAAAAAAAATTTAAAACATGGCTGGGCATGGTGGATGTGTATGAGTGTATTGCCTGCATGGATGTAAGTGCACCCACATCATGCAATGCCCACAGAGGCCAGAAGAGGGTGTTGGATATCCTGGAACTGGAGTTAAGGACAGTTGTTAGTTGCCGTGTGGTGCTGGGAATTGAACCCGGGTCCTCTACAAGAATAGCAAGTGCTCTTAACTGCTGAGCCATCTCTCCTGACTGATTTTTTGTTTGTTTTTTCATTAAAATTTTTTTGGCATTTATTTATTTATTTATTTATTTAGTGTATGTATGTGTGTGTTTGCCATGGCACATACGTGGAGGTCAGAAAATAACCTGAGGGAGTCTCCTTCCATCATGTGGGGTTTGAACTCACGTCATTAGGCTCTTGGCAGCAAGTATCTGTATTTGCTGATTCATCTCACCAGCCCTAACTTGTGATGTTTATAGTTCATGTTTTCAACTCTGAACTTGGAATTCAATTTCTTATTCTCTGCTTTTCATAGCCCCACCCCCTTTGTGGTACTGAGGACTGAACCCAGAGTCTTACTCATGTAGGTAACCACTCTATCACTGAGCTATATCCCCAGCCCATCCCAGAGGATGATGAAGCCTCTGCTCAGCCTTTTCTATTCTGTACATCTACAAAATAAAAAACCATCACAACAGTAAGCTCCAAACAGCTAAACAAAAGCTCAGTGGCTTGAGGCCAGCCTAAACTATACATCAAGACCCTGTTCAAACAAACAAAGACAAGGGCTGGCAAGATGACTCAGTACTAAAGGTGCTTGCAGACAGCCTGAGGACCTGAGTTCGGTTCCAAGAACTCACATAACGTAAGGAGAGAACCAGCTCTCGAAGGTTGTTCTCTGAATTTCACATGTATGTGCCCGCCCACATACATGCACACAATAAACAAATAAACAAATGTAAGAAAATGAAAAATAATACTTATATATCTGCTTTTAATTAATTTAGTCAATGCACTGGGCTGTCAGAGGTAAAAAAGACTTGATGCTGGAGGGATCTGACCAGACTTGTACCACCAAGATTCAAAGCAAGGAACAGAAGGAACAAAGAGGAACAAAGAAAGATGACCTGGATTCAGCCGCAGAGAAGCTGGAGCAGAAAGAATCCCTGTCCCCAGACAAGGCACGCCGCCTGCAAACTTCTAACTCTCCAAGTGAGTTGTCATGTAGCTTTTCAGAACAGAGAAGGCTGGGAACCAGAGAGCTTGCTTTAAATGGCTCTTAACTCTGTCCAACTTGCACAGTAATCACAAACTGAAGAATTGATTTTGCTTTTTTTTTCCCTTTTAGACAGGGTCTCACTTAGTTGTACTGTCTGGCCTTGAACTCACAGAGATCTGCCTGCTTCTACTTTGAAATGCTGGGATTCAAGGGTGTGCTTCCACGCCCAGCACTGGTTTAGCATCTTTTAAAAAATTATTATTATTATTATTATTGTTTTTATGTCTTTTTGGTCTTTTTGAGGCAGGGTCTCCCTGTAGCCCCAGCTGTCCTGGAACTCACTATGTAGACCAGGCTGGCCTTGAACTTACAGAGATCTGCCTGCCTCTGCCTCCCAAGTACTGGGGTTAAAGGTGTGCACCACCACACCTGGCTTCATTTATTGTTTGATTTTTTTTTCATGTGTGTGAGTATTTTGCCTACATGTATGTGCACCATGTGTGTGCAGCACCTACAGAGGCTAGCAGTGGGAGTCTGATCCCCTGGAACTGGAGTTAAGGATGGTTGTTAGCTGCCATGGCAGTGCTGGGAACCGAACCCAGGTCCTCTACAAGAGTAACCAAGTTCTTAACCACTGAGCCATCTCTCCAGCCCTGATTTAGCATCTTAAGTAATACTTTGCATTGGCCCAGAAGGTGGAAAATGCATGTATTTTTCCAATAGAAGGAGTGTCTTTTAAAAAACATTACATTCTGGTTGGGAGTGCTGAGATTAAAGGTGTGTGACCTCTGGCCTCGACCTCTGATTTTAAGTGTGTCTCTTCTTCTTCTGAAGGTTTTTCAGATGTAAACTGTGGGCACCTTCGTTTCCGCTGGTCTGGCGATGTTCCCTCAGAACTTCTGAGGAAGTTCAGGAACTATGAAATCTAAAGTGCTGCGATCTGTAAGAGAGGACGAACTAGACCCGCGCTGTGCTGCCCACGTGACCTTCGATGTGCTGTCTCTGTTCATGCCTTGAAAACGCCATGTTTGTGAACTGCTCAGTACGGTTGAGTCCTCGGTCTCTGAACCCATCCTCACAATGTGCTTTGTTTAATTTTCTGCTGGGGATCGAATCCAGGATCTGGTGTACACTCTACCATTGATCTACCCCCCTAGCCCCTCAATGTATAGTTTAAGTGAGAAAAGTTTTAGCTTAGTTTCTTTCAATATATGAGTAAATTATGTTTCTTAAATCTAAGTAGGTTGTATTAAATCTGTTTTCTTGTTAATGTTATTTATAGATATCTATTAAAAACTAGTCTCTATTGATATCTTTGTGTCAGACATACAAAAAAATGTCTTCTGACTTTTGACTTAAAATGAAGTGTAGAGTTACTTGTCTGAATTCCATAGGGTTAAATAAATAATTTCCCCAAAGTTTATAATTGCATTTATAGTACAATTGTATTTATTTATCTATCTATTCATTTATTTATATGGCTTTTTAAGGTCAGGCTGGCCTTGGACTGTTTATGTAGCTAGCCCAGCCTGGCCCAAACTTTCCATCCTTCTGCCTCTGCCTATGTTTTCTTTGGGCTGGTGAGATGCCTCAGTTGGTAAAGGCACTTGCTGCCAGGCCTGACAACCTGAGTTCAAGCCCTAGAACTCATGTGATGGTAGAAAGAGTGAATCCTGAAAGCTGTCCTCTGACTTCCACATGGGCTGTGCACACACGCCTGCATACATACATGCACAAAAATAAACAAAAAATATAATTAGAAAATATGTTCATAGCCAGGGGTCGTGGCGCATACCTGCAGTCCAAGCACCTGAGAAGTGGAAGTAATGGATCAGGAGTTCAAGGCTAGCTGTGGCCACATAGCAAGTTCTAGGCCAGACAAACAAAAAAGTACATTTAGTCAGCGGTTAAGAGCGCTGGCTGCTCTTGCAGAGGACTGGGGTTTGATTCCCAGCACACACATGGCGGCTAACAACTGTCCCTAACTCCAGTTCCAGAGGATCTAATGCCCCCTTCTGACCTCCATGGGCATTGCATGACAGGGGTGCACTTACACACATTCAGGCAATATACTCATACACATAAAATAAAAATAAAATATTTTTAAAAAAGCACATTCTACTATGTAGTCCTGGCTGGCCTGGAACGTGCTATGTAGACCAAGCTGGTCCTGAACTCACAGATAATCTGCCTGCCTCTACTTCCTGAGTGCTGGGATTAAAGACATATGCCACCACACCCATCAAAGTCCTTTTTATGAAATGTCTGAATAGACTATTATTTTGCTGTGGCCAACACCACAGGCTAGATGGCTTAAACATTTCTCACAGTTTTGGAGGCTAGAAGTCCAAGATCAAGGGGCTGGCAGTTTGATTTCTGAGGCTGCTCTCTAAGGTCACCTCCTTAGCTGTGTCCTTGTATGACCTTTTCTTTACACACATATCACACATTATTGCTGGTGTCTCCTCCTTTCCCTCCTCCCCTTCCTTTCCTTCCTTCTCTTTCTTCTCTCTTGTGGTACTGAGCTCCTTTCTCTCCTCCCTCCCTCCCTCCCTCTCTCCCTCCCTTCCTTCTTTCCTTCCTTGTAGTACTGGGATTTGAACCTAGGGTACGTGCTAGGCAAGCACACTACCTCTAAGCTACTTCTTTTTTAAAAGATTTATTTTATTTTTAATTATGTGTATGTATGTGAGGGGTATGTGCACATGTGAGGCCAGAGGTGTGGGATCTCCTGGAGCTAGAGTTATAGATGATTGTGAGCCGCCCAGCATAGGTGTTGGGAATCAAGCTTGTCTTCTCTAAGAACAATTACGTGCTCTTAACTGCTGAGCCATCTCTCCAGCCTCCCTCTACCCCTTCTTGTAAAGACAACAGTCATACCGGATTAGGGGCCACTTTCATGACCTCATTTATTTACATCTTAAAAAAACTTAGATTTGCCGGGCATGGTGGCACACGCCTTTAATCCCAGCACTCGGGAGGCAGAGGCAGGCAGATCTCTGTGAGTTCAAGGCCAGCCTGGTCTCCATAGTGAGTTCTAGGACAGCTGGGGCTACAGGGAGACCCTGTCTCAAAAAGACCAAAAAAATAAAAATAAATAAAAATAAAAACACCTTAGATTCTCGGGGTGAAGAGATGCTCATCAGTTAAGAGCACTGACTGCTCTTGCAGAGGACCCAGGTTTTGATTCCTGGCACCCACATGGTGGCTACAAACCATCCTTAACTCTAGTTCCAGGGGAATCCGATGCCCTCTTCTGACCTCCGTGGCATTGCACGACACAGGTGTACTCACATACATGCAGGCAATACACTCATACACATAAAAATAATAAATATATTTAAAAAACTTAGATTCTCACTGTTCCAGGGCTCGTAACTACTCTGCTTAGCTAGTTAGACCCTCACCTCACTGTCCCCATCCCTGCCTTGAGTATAGCGCCCCCCCATCTCCTACTCATCCTTCCTGAGACCTCCAGACTAGCCTGACAAGTGTACTTCTTAACACTTACCAAAGAAGCTTCTTTTTGCAACAGATGGCGACTATTACACAGTTCCACAACTGTGAGCTGCCCAGCCCTAGGTGACACATCTACAGTGCAGCCTCTATACCTAGGGCTCAGGGAACATAGTGGAACAGGGGGCAGAGAGAACATTAATGCCTCTCTCAACTCTCACTAGCGAAGCTTTCACATTCAACAGATGGTGATTAGCACAGAAGGCTACAACTGGCCACAATGTAGAGACTGCAGAGTGCATGTCCCTAGACAGAACTCCTATATCAAACCTCACCCATCCAGGCCACAGGAACCATTTCAGAAGAGGCAGAAAGACTGTAAGAGCCAGGGGGTGATGGATGACCACAGGAAACAGTTTCCCAGATGGCCGGGAACTTGCTCATATGAACACAGCACTGTTGACCGCATGTACAAGACTCATGCAAACTTAAACCAGACGAAAACCCAGCATAGTACTGGGGAAATGAAGAAACCCCAACTTTAGCTGAGGAACTCTTGACAACTGATCACTACTGGGTGAGGTAGAGTTGGTCTTCTTTAAGGGAGTGATACTAGATAGGCTGACTAGGCTCCAGGGCATGGACTTACACTGAGGGACATCTAGGGACACAAACTTGACTTGATAGGCCTTAACATATATGACAGAATGCATGAAATCTGGTGGGGTGGTACGGGGGGTGCAGATAGGAGAGGGGGATCTAAATATGACAAGATGTATTATATGAAATGTCTAAAAACCTTGTCTCCAAATAAGATCCCATTCGGAGGTCCTGGGGCTTAGGTCTTCAACTTGTAAATTTTAGGAGACCACATTTCATTTACTAAAACAGATGAAAGAAAGGAAAATAGAAAGTTCAACCTCCTGTTGAATCCTTTAATTTTATTTGAATTTTTACTGTTTTGTCAAATCCATATGTCAGGGCCAGTAGTTTGGTAAATAATTTCTTTTAAAAACTTTTTTTTGATTGATTTATTTTTATTTTATGTGTATGAGTGTCTTGCCTGAATGTATATAAGTGCACCTGTGTCATGCAGAGGCCAGAAGAGGGTGTCAGATTCCCTGGAACTGGAGGTACAGACAGTTGTTAGCTGCTATGTGGGTGCTGGGAACCAAACCTGGGGTCTCTGGAAGAGCAACCAGTGCTCTTAACCACTGAGCCATCTCTCCAGGCCCTAGAGAATAATTTCTATCAATACTTTATCATTTCAGTAAAATATGACTTGGCATTGTCAACATTTTTGCAAATTTTACTTCAAAAATGGAAAACACATGCTGCCTGGTTGTCAAGAGGGACCCACAGCTGGGGAATTTCCTCTATCGGGTTAACCTGCGGGCATGTCTGTGAGGCATTTTCTTGATTGTTGAGTGGTGTGGGAGGACCCAGCCCACTGTGGGTGGCGCCACCCCAGGGCAGGTGGTCCTGGGTTGTTATAAGAAAGCAGGCTGAGCACAGTCTGAAGGAGCAAGCTAGTCAGCAGCGTTCCTCCATGGCTTCTGTTTCAGTTCCTGCCACCAAGTTCCGGCTGGGAGCGCCTACCTGGCTTCTCTTAAAAGTGTGTTGTCACCTGGAAGTGTAAGATTCACGAAACCTTTTCTTCCTCGAGTTACTTCTGGTGAGTGTTTTATCACAGCAGCAGAGAAACCTAGCTAGGGCTCATGGGAAAATAGAACAAGTTAGTGAAATGGTCTTTGGGCAGTTGCCTGCCACAATGCCTTTGTGGCCCAAGTAGCATCCAAATAAATACTGTATCTAGTAAGGAAGTTTTCAATCTAAGAAATTTTTAATTTTTTTCTTCCTCTCAGACAGGTTTTCAGCCCTGATGGCTTTTAACAACAGGGCACAGAGGAAAACGCCCACTTCCGAGTAGCTCTGTTTTTACTGTAGACTCAGTTCCCGGCAGTTGGCAAGATTCAGCACCTGCTCGTTTCCTTCCCCCTCATTATGACTGAAGGCTCCAGATTGGGAATGAGTAATGGCTTTACTCTGATTGCCATCTATGGCAGGTCAGCCCTGTGCCAAGCTCCTTGTGCTCAATCCCATTTAACTCTGCAGGACCTGTTACACATCAACAATTGAATACTGACCTGAGCTCAGTAGTTTAAAAAGAGGGCTGTGCTATTGCAGCCCTCTGAATGGAAAACAAACAGAAATTAGGTCAATATTTTTTTTTTTTAAATTAAAACAATTGGCTGGCGTGGTGGTGCACGTCTTTAATACCAGCCCTTGGGAGGAGAGGCAGGTGGATCTCTGTGAGTTTGAGGCCAACCTGGTCTACATAGTGAGTTCTAGGCCAGCTGGGGCTACAGGGAGACCCTGTCTCAAAAAGAAAAAAAAAAAATCCTTTTTGATTTGCTTATTTTAAAAAAAATTAAAATTATTTTATGTGTATGAGTGTATTGCCTGCATGTATGTGAATGCACCTGTGTCATGCAATGCCGTGGAGGTCGGAAGAGGGCTTTGGATTCCTTTTGGTCTTTTTGAGATAGGTTCTCATTCTAGCCCCAGCTGGCCTAAAAACTCACAATGTTAGACCAGGCTGGCCTTGAACTCACGAGATCCACCTGCCTCTGCCTCTAGAGTTCTGGGATTAAAGGTGTGGGATGTGAGTTACCACACTCAGCTGTGATTGGGAATATTTTTCTTTTTTCTTTAAATTTTTATTTTATGTGTATGAGTGTATTGCCTGTATGTGTGTAAGTGCATCTGTGTTGTGCAATGCTTGCAGAGGCCAGAAGAGGGTGTGGGATCCTCTGGAACTGGAGTTGTGGGAGGTTGTTAGCTGCCATGTAGGTGCTGGGAACTGAACCTAGGTACTCTGTAAGAGCAGCCAGTTCTCTTAACTGCTGAGTCATCTCTCCAGCCCCTGGTCAATATTTGTTACATGTTTTGAATTTCCCAGTAGGTCCAGTAGG